GGCTGGGCGAGGCGGCGGCGGTGCAGGCGGCGGACGACGCGGCGGCCGTGCGCGGCTGCGGACGGCGCTCGCAAGAACCTCTCGCCGCGGCGCCAGGCCGCTACGCGGCGCTTGCCGGCGGCGCCGGCAGGCCGGCTGGGCTCAGGCAGGACGCAAGCTGGCGCGAGCGCGCCAAGTGTGCCAGCGCGAAGGTGGTAAGTGGCTGCTTGGGACCAAGCTGGACCGGAGCGGCAAGCTGTGGGCCAGCGCGAAGTGGTGAGTGGCAGCTGGAGGACCAGAGTGGACCGCGGGCGCGCCAAGCTGTGCAGCGGCGAAGTGGTTGCCTGCTGGCACGAGCTGACCGGGAAGCGCGCCAAGCTGTGCAGCGCCGAAGTGGTGAGTGCTGCTGGGGGACCGAGCTGGACCGCGAGCGGCAAGCTGTGCCGCGCGAAGTGTGAGTGTGCTGCGGGGACCGGCTGGACCGCGAGCGCGCCAAGCTGTCCAGCGCGCAGTGGTGAGTGCCAGCTGGGGGACCGGAGCTGGACGCGAGCGGCGCCAAGCTGTTGCCAGCGCGAAGTGGTGAGTGTGCTGCTGGGGGAACCGAAGCTGGACGCCGCGAGCGCGCCAAGGCTGTGGCAGCGCGAAGTGGTGAGTGCTGGCTGGGGGACGGAGCTGGACCGCCGAGCGCGCCAAGCTGTGCCAGGCGAAGTGGTAAGTGCTGCTGGGGCGAGCTGCACGTGAGCGGGCGTCAAGCTGTGCCAGCGGCAGTGGGTGAGTGTGCTGCGGGGCCGAGCTGGACGGCAGAGCGGCCCAAGCTGTCGCCAGCGCGAAGTGTAAGATGGTTCTGGGGGACGAGCTGAACCGGAGCGGCCTCAAGCTCATGCCAGCGCGAAGTGGTAAGTGCTGCTGGGGACCGAAGCTGGCACCGCGAGCGGAAACAAGCTATGCCACGCGGTGGAAGGGAAGGTGCGTGCTGAACGAGCTGGAGGGGCGAGCACGCCAAGATGTGACAGGCTGATATTCACCTTAGCATATTCGGGTTCTACAAAGAAATAGGTAATATATATTGTACTACTCTTATACACTTATTTTACTTTTGTAAAAATTACAGACTCAAAATTTGGGAATAGGGAACTTATTAGTCAAGTTACTTTTAATTTTATATGATTTTGGTGGTATTTGTTTTTTTGGGCGAGGAGCTAGGTTCACATTGCTGTTTAAAAGCGTGAGTTGTAGAGATCCACGTTCTCTTTTGATTCCGTGATCTATCGTTTGACAGTGAAAGGTCTACCTAAACCAAACCGATTTGAAATTTGAGACATTTTCCAAACTTCCAGGACTGTAATACACCCGATATTACCTTGTAGGCTGTATTATATTATTAATCGTATCTCGCTGTACTAAGATAAGATCAATCTTCGCTTTGGTCTTAGTGTTTGTTACAATTCAACAAAAATGTGGGCGAAGGTGCGATGGAAATATGAATAGTAAAAATCTTGCCGCATGTTCAGAAAACTCATATCTCGAGCATTTAGATAGAAGAAGATAGCGATTTTCATCAAATGATTCTCTTCTTGATCATAGCCTGCGTACTACCATCAACTACGCGCAGTATTTATGCATGGGCAGTATAAGTGTTTACTAATTAAATTTTTTTTTTCAAAGAAAATTGGTTGCTTGACCTGGACTGAACGCAGGCCTTCTGGTTTACACCGCTGCTCTGTGAGGGTTCACGGTTCGAGTTCGAGTCCGCGTCGGGTCAAGCCAATTCTTTGAAGCAAAATTCATTAGTCAAAATGCATTGTTATGGAGTAACGTGACCGCAATTTGATTGCTTTACGCGCTGCGGATAGTATTCTCCGAGGCATAATGCGTCCGGGATGACTGAATTATAAATATATGTTTACTCTTACTTACTCTTAATGCGCGCGGCAGGTGTTACGGTTAGCGTATCGGACTAGTATACCCAACGTTGGCGGGCTCGACCGATCGAAGCCGTGTGGAATAATTAGGGGCGAAGAAAAAATCCTTCGCTACGCCTTCCTATGGAGCAGTAAAGCCGCCTGTCCCTGCTAGTAGATCTACTATTATGTAAAAGACAGCCTGTTCTATATTTGTTTCTCGCACAAGAATATTCCTTTCTATGCTAGTGGCGCGATGTTCGATGTGATGGTCGATGCGCGATGGTCGAGAGGCCTTGCTTGCGGCGCCTTGGGACAATGTGCCTATCTTCTACCCCCGAAGCCAAAGGCTGGACGAGGCCGTATTTCGACTCGAAGAGAACATACACAGGGAAATCGATACTGCGTTACTCTTTCCCGTCCTACGGGTTTGAGACGAACACATAAAAGATTTTGATGATAAACGAAACGGCGCTGCTTGATCGGAATTCGAATAATCGTGAGCAAGGAGGAATCCATATCTCTGATAAAAGTCTACCTTTTATTTACCGGTGGCGTGCAGAGTATAACTGTCTGGATTTTTGTAGAGGGGAAGCGTTAAGGCTCGTCTCTGGGTTTCTTCTGCTTTATTATCCCCTTCTTTTTTCACTAATTACCTTTATTACTAAACTTATTCCTAACACTTAGTAAAACATCTACAAATTTCAGGGGCTTCCGAAATATAAATTTGACAGACGTTTTAAGAAATGTGAGTATTCCTCTATAATCATCACGTTCAATTAGGTTTTTAACTTTCAACTCCGTTTACAATTGTCTAACTATTAGTAATTGGATTACTTTCAGAATTTTAGTTCAAGGTAAGGAGACATTCACTGTTTTCAGCAAGTTTAATTTTTTTTATTTTGCAGGCTTATGTTTCAATATCAAATACAACAATAATTTTAGTTAAATTTGTACGCCATATTAAACGGATCATTCATAATGGTAGAAAGATAGTTCCTTATGATATATTTGAATCATCACTTTTTACATTGTTGGAAAAGCGCAATAGTAAATCTTATTCAATATAACTAATTCATTTTGCTACAAAATGCAGTTTATTAATGTATTATTGTGCAGGGGCCAGAATGAGGTTGTTTTATTTCTCATTTTTTTGGTTTTATTTTCCCCGTTCATATAAATATAATTAGAGTTATGAAAGTAAACTTATGGTAAGCATCGCTACAATTGTTTTTGATAAGGCTTTCATTTACTCTCAAAAATTGTAAAGTTTTATTAAATGGTGGCAATTCTGGAATGTAGATTCTCTCTGCTTGATTAAGTCCGAACTTGAACTCTTTATAACAGAAATTCAAAATCATGTAACTTCCATCACTTTACTATTTTATTGGCTTTTTTTTTCGAAATTTCGATCCCGTCTCCATACAAAATAGAAATCAGTTGAGCTCGCAATCCATTATCGGAGCCATAAATTCATCTTTATAAATAAACTTCATTCAAAATAAGATCGTGAAAGTCAATGTTTCATTCCAATAGGTATACCCAAAGGCGTATTTATCCCTCATCTGCCTGGATTTTCTTAAAAATAATGCTCATAACAATCAATTTGATAATTAAAAATGTGTTCTTCAACATTTACGTGCACAGTTGACACCTTTTAAGTTGTTATGGGCAACAACATTACTTAAAACAAAATTGGGCATTACTTAAATTTTGATGTAAAAGTTAGGGACTGACCCTACGTATCAGAGATTGAACGTTTGGAAGTTTGGCCTACTTTGGGTGAGCACGAGAGGGTGATATAGCCCTCATTGAGAACAGTCTGCACATTGGTTATGAATGTCCTATAAAATATATTGAATTTTAACAGATGTATATAATATTAATATTTATATTGAAGAAGTTTACTGAGTTCGAGAAGTTCTTGTTTATGTTTAATCTATTTTATTTTACTTTCCTGTTTTGTAATTTTCGCAAGAACATTTAAGCGGCAAATACGAACAAACCGCATTTTTCTATTAGATTAATAAATAATGACTGAATTGTTTCAAAAATGAACGCGGGTTTCGAGCCACACTTCTTTGGACCTCAAGCAACGGTTTCAAAACGAATAATAATGGGCCGTTGCAGCCAAATGCCCAAAAAGGCGTGAGCCAAAAGGCTTTTGGCTTTTGGTCTGCAACATATTTTGAAGCAAAGACTTCATTCCAATCCAATCTGTTCAAGGCATTTTCGGCCTTGCTGAAGAGACCGAATAGTTCTGAAAAACGTCTAGAAAACTGGGGTCTTTTTCTTTTTAAATATTGCAAGTGAACCGCCATTTGAAGCAAAGTTTTCCCTAGACTTTGGTACCTACCAAAACTGTCAAAATTTCTGAGTGGTATTTGGACATCTGGGTCAAGGTGTTTAAACAGATACTTTGGGCAAACCTAGTCAACTATCTTTGGCTTAGCCAACGTCATCTTTTGCTACTACTGTTTCGACTATCAATCGTCTTATCAGCTCGGGAAGTGTTGATCAAGCGACATGGCTGACGATACCAGACAGTGTTGGGGGAAAAGATGGAAACTTTAGGTCGATAATATGGCTTATATAGGAGAATTTTAATTCAGCATGGTCTATAGAATGCGCTGCAATGCCATGCTGTGGAAAGAGCGCACATCCGCGAGCAGTTGCTTGCTTCAGCTCAGGGCGACGATACCTCTGGCCGCATCTTCACCAAAAGAATTCTGTTGCCACAGTGCAGCGGACGTTTCGAGGCAGTTTCATCACAAAATTCTTGGCTTAATAATGAACATCTCCCGAATATTCGATGGAAGGGCTTTTGTAGTTTCAAGGCAGTGTGGGTCTATGGAAGAAAATGTTTTTAGTCAATCGAAGTTGTTGCGGTTGACGTTGCGTCAAATACTGTCTGTCGATTTCTGCGAAGACGGTCAGACATAAGCGTACAGATTGTTCTTAGTTCAGAGGCTTACACGTGATAAAGCTAATTTGTCGGAATTTGTTAATTAATGCTCATCACATGGTGGTCGACGAAATCTTCATTTTCAACGTGAAGGTTTCAATGACTGAAGTGAAATTTCCTTGATTGACGCAAGTATATGTCATAATCTGCGGTAATTGAGGATCAAAAAAACATAAGTCACAATTGCGAAGTAACACAACAAAGGTTTTATATTCTCTTTTTTTCTTCTTTGAAACACCGTAATTTATTTTTAAAATGTAAATCTGGCTATTCCCTTTAATTGGTAAGTGCCAAATTCTTCTGATTACTTTTGCAAAAACTCAAAAAGTTAATGTAACACGAACAAATTTGCGCATTTTCAAAAACTGAACGCAGTTTCTCAAAAACTTTTTCAAATTCTACAATCAAAATTTCCTTTAGGCGCCAGTTTAATCTTTATAATCTTAAATTCATATTTCAATTTTACTGGGCTTTCTAAAAACATAAGAGTTAAACTAATTTAGCTTCAAGTTGTTGGAAAAAGAATATAGTATTTTACAGGCAACTTCATTAAGGAGACGAAAACTTTATAAATGTGAGAAATTGACTTTAGATACAGATAGACTACAAAATGAAAAAGTGTCAATATAAATAGTTAGTCACACTACTGATCAGATGCTTTTTTTCCTACCTACCGCAAATTTTTGGCATTTTCTTCCTCCTCTCCATTTTGCAAATATGTCAAAAAAGTAATTTATTATTAAAGAATTTCAATTTTTCAATTACCTTAAATTCGATATAATGCATTGATTCATTCAGGGCAATTGGGCTCAAGTAAATTTAAAGTCGAAATGTTACTGAATGTTCGCCAATGAACCTGATTTATAGTTGCCGCATTGCAACGGGAATGCAATCACAGCAGGTGGGGTTGAATGGCAAGGTGAGGGGGAGCGTGGAAGGGATTGGAAGGGGAGGGAGGAGCGCAGCGGGTGGGATGGAGCGGGAGAGGGATGCTGGGCGGGGAGGGGACTGAGAGGGGCCAGAACACGGTGGCTCAGGGCGGGGCGGATGGGATTACCACACCTAGAATTCATTCGTTTTGCCAATCCATGAGATAAGATTCATAGGTGTTGTGTAGGTATCTTTGCATTTTTAAATAATCTAAGATGTTGTCATTGCCAACAATATTTTTTAATTCAAAAGCACTTTCGATGGCTTAGCCATCTCATCAATTGTCTGCTAGAATGGAAGCACAAAACGACTACCAACGTAGTCGGTAGTCGTTGTGGGGCGCGTGCTAGTGCAGGGTTGTCCAAAAGAGTTGTGTTTGCGGGTGCAGGGAGATCGGCGCGCAGGCGCGCGCGCTGAGGCCGCTGGGTGAACGCGCGCGGGCCCCAGGCCGGCCTCCAGCGCGTCCGCCAGCCGCTGCAGCGCGTTCGAGGTGTACATGCGGCGGCGCGTGTCGGGCCACGCCGACCGCACCGCCACGCACGGCTTGTCGTCCCAGTAGGGCAGGAAGTAGTAGCGCTTGTCCAGGCTCATGGGCTTCACGGAGGGCGTCGTGCTCTGCCACCAGGGCTCCGACGACACGCCCTCTGAGAGCACACACAGCACCAACAGCAGTTACTCCCACGACCCGGACAGCGGCAACTTTACTTTGAACATGCAATTCGCATGACATCTTGTGCAGTATATTTAGCCTGGACGATAATTCTAGCGGCGACTGCTCTGATCGGTAGTTTTTTTTGTTCCTTCGATTAATAACAAGGGAATGCCGGAGCAGTACCATAATAAACGGGCCACGGACCGCGCGCGACGTTTCCTTCCTCTTCCTTGTCTCATACTCACCCCTTACTCTCACACCCTTTTATTTACAAGCCCCCTCACTACCACATGTTGGGACACGAGTTGGGAGCTTAGAACTTGTCTAGGCTGGAGGTGTGCCCATTGGGGGGAAATAGCTGGAGGGGAAATCTCCAAAAAGTCGACGTGAAGGTCGGTGCCGGCTAAATCAAGCGGGGGCGAATATCGCCGCCTCACGCGATAAAACATGCAGTACTCTAAGGTGATAATGACCAAAACATTTGACGTGCCCGGAAACATGAGATAAGCGAGGACTCAATAATGCAGTCATTCAATCAATAAATCGTGCCGTATGTAGAAATTGTAATATGATGGTGATTCAAAAAGAACTCACAGATAATTTCGTTTCAAATATTTTAATAGATATTATTAGAAAAGTACTTTACTCATTTACTTCCTAGTATTGTCCCGCTCCTGGGTCACACATTTATTCTCTCGATTGACCAAAATATCAATGCCTGAAAAGAAGATAGTAGTTTCAAGCGACCCTATTGCTTTCAAGTATACGGTAGTAGATGTCAATAATATACAAGGAAAGACTGTCGTAATTTGGGAAACTTCCGTATTAAATAATGAAATATCATGCAAATAATTATTATGAATGATCTGAGAATGAAATTAGGAGTTCATAGCATTAGACCAGCTTAAAATATTCTAAAGTTATGCAACAACATGGTTTATACACCAAAATTACGTGGAAAAATATATTTTTCGAACAAATCTTAAAGTATAATCTTAACGAAAATGCACCATTGATAATCATATTGAAATAAGAGGCCCAATAATGCGGGAACTAATTTAATGCAAGAAAGACCAAACGATACGAAGAGAAGAAATATATAAGTGTCGTTAAGTCACGTTTCTGATATGAATTCATAAGGGTCACTAGTTTCACTCGCAAAAGCGAATCGGAGATCAAAAGCGAATATCTCTCTTCGACGTCGAAGCGTTAAAGGTCACAGTTCCATTTCGCCTAAAGTAGAATAGGAGATTGCACTACGGTCAAAGAGCAAACATAACGCATAGTGAAACTACACCAATTCCTAAACATTCTGAAATAAGAAAAAGTATTCTTTAGGACTTGAAGGACTAAAAAAATACCATTTTATATGAGAGAAGTTTATTAAATCATATGAAATGCACTACATTTTAGGCAACTCTCTCCAAATACCAAAACTTTCATTTTTGGAGTTTTTTGTAGCTTTCCAAGTACATTTATTTTTGTTGTTTTCCTTGTAAAGAAATAGAAAAAAATAGATTTTTTACACAACACAAAGATATTCTAGTGCAAAGCTGGTCAGTCAGGCCAACCAATCCATTAACAACAGGAACTTTTAAATAGCTAATAAGGAAATACCGCATAAAAGTTAATAACGACCTTGAAATAAATAAAATAAATTGTTACAATTCTAATAGCTTACGTAGAAAATGAGTCAAAAAATCACAATTTGAGAATGAGGGAGACTAGAAGGGCGAATCGTGGAGGAATTCTGAAAAAGCAAGAAACGCGCTAAGTGTGCTGAGGCATTAAAGACCAATAATGAGAAAAATAATGAACGAAATATAGTGTGAATCGTGAGCCAGGATATAACAAAAGTTTTTCGTAGTCATTTAATTTTACTTTGTTCTATAATGAGATAAAATCGTCTGGAAGGAAATAATGAGAGTAATTGAAACCCCTTGCCACAGGGTTGGTGATTAGTAATGGGTTCGCCAAAAACTTATAATTATTGGCAGAATCAGTTTGTACAGCAATTAATATTTCATTGACATTCTTTATAATAAAGAATTAATTTTCTGTAATAATCCGCTCTTTTGGTACAAATGGTATAGTTTGGTATTGTATGGTATGGTATAGTTTGGTTGCTCCTTCTATGTATTGAAGTTTTGATGATGATAAAAAGGGAAATATGGAGAACAGAAAAGGGAGGATCGTTTAGTGTTTTTGATAATTATCTTATATTAAGATAGTTATTTATTGACACAATTTATACGGATATTTTTGAGTAAATATTAAATATTGGGGACTGTAATTAATTTCTATTTTGTAGAAGGCAAACACTCTTTGAACGTGCGAATTAAATTCTGAAAGTTTTATGTATTTGATTTAATTTTTCAATGAAAGTAAAATCATTTCTTCTATGATAGAAAATGCGCGTACTTTAACATTATTTGAAGGATTTAAATACAATGTGAAGACCGCTCTTATACATTTGGATCTACGAGAACTCGCGTCATACCAGCCGTATCATAATTTGATCATGAATGACGATAACTACCAAAGATTTCATGTGTGAAATTATTTCATAGAATGCATTTCGTAATACCAGTTTTGAGGTTGGTGACCAGTACGTCAAACAGCCTCTGATAAATTCTTTTAATGGGATACTATTACTCAGTTATCTACTGAGGAAATACAAAGGTAACCGCAAGAATGACAAGTATATGGTCTTTCATTACGAACGCTATTCGTCTAATAAGTATTGCATACGAAGCTCGTGGGGAAGTTCGCTCGACAATAAAGCATTGACCCTAATTACGATCTGATTCCACCAATTCCAGAAGTGAAATTGCATGTGACCCTTGGTATTAATCAACTTTTTTGCCGCGCTGCAGAATGACAAACAACTGAGAATTGCTGCACCTCTCTTGCCCCGTGGGTTGTCCATTACGCCAGAGATCTTTCATTCGCATAATGCCATTGAGATTTTACTGGAAATGTGGAACGGAGTTTACGTTTGTAGTCATTTCTCAGGCAACATGTTATATCAGTTTATACAAATACAAAAGTTTATATCAGTTTATACTGTTGGCAACATAAAATTTCAGTGGGTGAATGCAATTAATATGTTACACATTATCCTTTGACCGAGTAGTAACTAGTTTATTTACCTTTTATTATATTGATCTCTTGATTTATATAAAAGACTTATCAATAACCATAAGTAATTACTCTTCGTTAACTGTTTCAGCGAATGTTTCATGAAATTATATATTTATTTACAATAATTACGAAATAAAATATTTAGAAAACGATTCAAAGAAGAAAAATACAATATTCAAATGGATTTTGTATTCATTCCGCATCAGTTAACAAGTGAGCTATTCACAAAAATGAGAAATGAAATTACTAATTTTAAGTAGCCATTTTTTCGAAACAGAAGCCACGTATGGTGAGCGTCACGTTCTAAAACTCGAATTTAATGAGATATTTAAGTGATTTATTTTATTAAATACCGAACAGTAACACAGAGGCGAAGGCCATTTGTTATCAAAATGGGAGATATTATAGAACAGAAATAGAGATGCATATGAGACACGGAATAATTTGGAAGAGAGTAAATTGTTCGCGAGACAACACATGCAAAGTACGCATCACATCTAAGAGCTAACTCATCGAAATTGGGACCATCGCCTAGAACTTTGTATCGAGTGACTATGTACATCCATGAGTTCAAGTCAAAAGTGGTCGGTGACCTTGTGCGCTATCTCTTTAATTCAGACATCATGTACTTCTGGCATCTCTTTACATTTTTTCCAATCGCGTTTCAGCAGAGGCTCCTGATCTCTCTTCCCTTTGATAAAAATCATCGCTATACTTCGTGCATGTCAATACTCCACATTGTTTTCTCTTTGTTTATCGTAAATGCTTTCTATAGAATAGGATAGATCAGCTGTTTCTCGTGCACTCGGTTTTCAATCTCCGTTGAGTTTTAGCAAACATGATATTGTAACGTGAGAACAATGGGACATATCTAGGAAAACAGTAGTTTTTATTCATGTTGACGACAAGTTCATAGAAATAGGGTATGCACTATTTACTTTTAAAATAAGAGAGAGAAACAGACTGTTAGGGAGTGTGCGACAATAAATTTCGTTCGGTACCATTTAGCAACCATAGTACACTCGTGTACTAGAGTCGTTACATATAAACGAAAAAGAAAACTTTTGTTTTAATTTAGATGACGTGCAAACCGATCTTGAGTTTGAAAGTGACTTTGAAGCAAAGTCAAAGCTCTACCCCAGAAATTATAAATATTGTTACTTATTTTTTTTGTCAAGAAGAACGTGAACACATGATAAACCTTTGCAAATAATTAAGATGTGAATATACAAAGAAAATCCTTAAGTTCTGATACAATATGAGCTACAGAATATAGCATAGAAATTAAAATCACCGCTGAGGAAGGACATTAAATATTCTAATTTTTATGTAGACAGGAGTGACATGCTTGTATATTTTGTCTCGTTGTAAGTAACAATTTTACATTTTTTCGAATGCTTGTTGCATACATAATTATTTACAAATGCAACCGATTCTCAGCGAAATTCCAGCGAAAAGGGATTAAATACTTATCAGCATAGAAAGGACAAGCTGTTCACCACAGCATACGCAGCAAACGCGTGTTGTTTTATGAAACGCCAACCAATGAAAGAGAAATGACCAAAAGCAGGGAACCTCGAAAGCGCAGATCGACCGCGGGCCGGAGTCGCAACGCACGCTCGAATTTGTCGGACGGCGGAAGGCGATAAGCCGAGCGGAACCGGCGGCCAACGGGGCACGAGCATGCGATTCGCGGCAAAATGTCAGCGCGCCGCCGCCGCCGCCACTCAAGTCTACTCGCCCCGACTGAAGAGGAATCGGGAACCGCCCACTTCTTCATTTTACACTGTCTTTTAGCCATTCAACCTCATTCAGAACCAGGTGCAGATCATAGAATTTTTAATTTCT